ATTTTTCTTATTGTTCTAGTAAGGACTTCAAGAATTATGTTGAAGAGATCGTACCATCTTTCTTAAGACTGCATTTTATAACATCACCTGCTTTGATGCTAGAGACTACTGATTGAAACTGAATAATACTGCTTGCTCGCCCAGGTCCCCTACTTGAAGATCATAGGACTTTAGCCATGGGCTACTTAGTTTTAACCTTCAACTTTTAGAATATAGAATCACAAAAAAGAGTCTCAGTAAGGAAATATCTGGATGAGACTAGCCTGTGGGCATGCTTGTAGGGGAGTGTCTTTATTGTTCATTGATGTGGGAAGACTCAGCAGCACTGTTAGGCACTGGGTACTGAACTAAGTGAGACAGGAGAGTACTAACGGAGGGAGCATGGGTTCATGTTACTTTCTGCTTATGGCTATAGATGTGCCAGGGCCACCTGTCTTAAGCTCTAAACACCATGGCATCATCAAAATGACGGCTCATAGCCTGTAATTGTAGGGTAAATAAAATCTTCCCTAAGCAGTTGTTTGGTCAGAGTATTTTTCATACAACATAAGTAAAACTAAGATAATACAAATGTACATAATCACAAACTATAACTTCCTATAATTAATCTCATTATATGCTTATGGTTATAATATAAATTAAATATACATAAAGGGTTACATTTATATGTAGAGCTTTACAGAAAACACACACACACACACACACACACATACATATACATATATTTCATTGTGTGGCAAACCCAATTACACCTGATTCCACAGCCCATGTTTAATGTTTTATTGCCTACAATATGATACTGTAACTGAGCTCTAAAAGTGAATAGATTCTGGTATCTATGGGTAGGGCTCTACAGGCCAAAGACTCTGTAATATTTATGGTTCAAAAATTGAAAAGAGCAAAGGTACAGGCAATGGTGATACTGTGTTTTATAGTGGCTGTGTAAGGTATAGGTGAGGCATGCTAGGAAATGAATCCATGCAGGGTGTAGGGAAAATGGGATGGAACACTACATTCTGTTATCTGTTAACCGACAGAAAAAAAAATTGTTAATCCTGTTAGCGTTTCTAACTCATTTCAGCACCAAAATACAGATTTTTCTATATTTTTTGTGTTTTATTGTCATTAAATATTAATGATGGTATGTATGTGAGAGGGATTTAAAAGCTGTTTTCTGAGGCTTTCAAAGTTAGGCTAAGTAGCAACTTATTTCAAAAGTCTGGTTTATGCTTAATAAATAAAATGGTTAAAAACATGCCTGATCAATATAAAATATATTATTTTAAGAAAGTATCAGTCACCACATGTATCCAATACCCTCAATAAAATCAGAATTCAGAAGAATGTCCATTTTGGTCACATTGTTTTTCTTTTTCTTTTTCCAGTAGATGATCAACTGTAATCCAAAACAGTCAAATTATTTCTTCTTGCATAACTTATTTTAGATGAATTTGTCTAATTTCTATATCTCTAATCTATTTTTACATTTATTTTCACTTATAATACACATTGAGGAAAAGCAATAGACTATATTTATCTCTTTTATTCTATTAGGGTTTTTTATGGCTATGTGGATAAAGACTTGCCAAGAGAGAAGTCAGGACAGAGATCGTATAGCTTTAAGAAGTCATAAAATAATTTGAGCAGAAGGGAAAGGAAGCTACACAAACAGACTGAGCTTTTCATTCACTGTGATTACCTTATCACCATCTATTTGTAATTCTGGATATAGGATATGGTAGATGTATTATTAATTATAGCCATCACTGTTGTAGAAAACAAAAGCAAGTGTTGGACTATATGATGTTTATTATTTGCCCTACAATAGTTGCAGCAGTATCATTTGACCCAGTGTGACAAATAATAAGACAAAGACACCTGTTGGATTTTATAATTGCCTTATTATCTTGGGCTGTGCATATATTTTTACCTATGCTATCTCATGAACTTCACATCCTTCTCCCAGCCTCTATCCAAAGCCATCCACCTTAATCATTCCTAATCACTTCATAATCCTCATCTGGACCTTTTCATGACATTGTGGGAGTCATTCCTCCCTACCTACTTGCTTTTGTCTCTACACTAACCCATCATGGTGTCCCCCTTCCTCCTTTCTTCACCTCTGTCTCTTTGCCACTATTCTCCTGTCCTCTAAAGCCCAGGAATTTTAGTCACACTTATGCCATTCTGCTCTGCCCAGGTATAGGCCTTTAATCAACCAATCAGGTAGAATGTCTTGGCAGGTTCACAAAACAAGGATAGGTGTACCTGAGCAGTAACCAGAACTTAAGTGCCAGTAATTAGCAACAATATAAAGTATCAGAACAACCGCCAACACATCACTATGAATTACTTAATTCTGATGCCTATTTTATTGTTCCACAAAATAAAATAGTTGCTATATTAATAACTCAAGCTAACTTTGTTGTAAACTTTACTTAGCCATATGTAGCTCCATTAAAATCATAATTGTGAAAGACAAGCACTGTAAAAGGAAAATGAGCTTTAAAGTTAAAATTAATATTTTGAGCTCCAGGATACACAAATCACTAGATCCAGGAACCTCTATGAGTAATACAAATTTTAAATCCTGATGGTTTTTCAGGCTTCCAAAAGCAGACACGGTTCCTCTTTTGTTGAATGGGTCATAAGTCCAATTAAAGATCTGCTGGTTATCATCAGGTATGCATGGTATTACGGTATCTGTAGGGTTATATTGCCATGCTGGTCAGTGATAGGGTTCATAGGTATCATAACAATGTAGAACTAGAGATGATTTAAGGAACAGAAGCTCTATTCCTAAGGACCATCAGCAGGAAAATAGCAAGTTTTCTTTAGCAGGTATTCGATACCAGCTACAGTGGTTTGATTTAACACACATTCCTATGACCAAACACCAGGTCATGTATCCAGGCCAGTACCCAGGTGTCTAGTAAAATTTAGATGTTATCACAACCAAAATATTAACAAGGTAGTAAAGGTAATTTTTATAATTTAGCTGTGGCTGGGGAAGGTCCAGATCTCCACAGCAAGAGGATTATGTTTGGGCTGTATAGCATAGAGCAAAAAGTGACTTAAAGTATTTTAAGCTCTTACCAAATGTTGGATTATGTTCTAAATCAGCAGTAAGCTAATGCTTTAAAGCTAAATCTAGGCTGCTGCCTAGTTATTTAAGTAAACATTTCTAGAACACATTTGTGTCTGTTTATATTCCCTGTGGCTGATTTTACTTCACAAAAACATTTGAGTAGTTGTAGTAGAATCCACATCCCTCATAATACTGAGTATGTGGCTCTTCATAGACAGGTTCTGCTGGGTCTTGTTTGGAAGGGCTTTCACTGAGACCATTCGATACATATTTTGCAGCAAGTTCTTCATATGACAATATTCCCACATATTATACAGCTGGGAACGAGTAGAGCATGACTCAGACCCAGCCTACCTATTTATTCTGTACTCTATTAGTGTAAAAGTATTACACATAATTTGAGTATGGTACTTCATATCTATTTGAACATATGGTCCTTATAACCTTAGAATTTAGATTATGAATTCAAAGGAAGCTGGAACTCCATAGTGTGACCTGTCTCACATGAGGGATATGCATACATACATTCATATTCAGTAACATATATAATATCTTTATTGAGGTATAGTTCACAACACACATTTCATCTATTTAAATAATTCAATTTAATAGTATTTAGTGTATTCAAAGACCTGTGTAAGGTAACTGTAATAAATTATAGAACACTTTCATTGTCCTCAAAAGAAAGTCCATGTTTTCACTATGATCTTGACACCACCCATTATTTCTGTAATGCTTCTTGTTTGTGTTTCAAAAAGTCTATCCTAGAAGAGATCTTATCCTTGGAGAAGATTTATATGTCCTTTCTGAGTAGCCTGTAGCTCCTCATTTAGGATTGGGACTTTGTGAGATTTTCTTCATCCTTGTTGGCTTATCAACTGATGAAGTTGTCATTATTATATCTTGTTCATGTGACCATATAGTTTAAATTTCATAGGTGCTTGTTCTTTATCACATACAGAAGCCATGATCAGCAGGCAGCCCTAAAAATATACACATATGATCATCCTAAAAGGATGTGGCAGGTTGACAATAAATATATAACAAGTATAATTAAAGAAGAGTCATGAATTTGAGAGGAATTTGGAGAAACATCGCAAGAGCTGAAGGAGGAGAGAGGGGTGAAAATATGTAAAAGCATACTCATGTGTGAAATCATCAACAAATCAAAAATATTTTAAATAAAAATTATCACTACCCTATAGTGACAGTAAGTTGTGAGCCATCCAGTGTGGATGCTGGGAACCAAACCTTTGTCCTCTGCAAGAGAAGTGCTTTTATTCATGCGCCCACCTCTTAAATCCTTTATGATAATGATAAACAGAATAAAAAGAAATAAAGAAAATAATGAATTCCATTAAAAACAGTTTTACACACATACACAAAACCTTCTAACCAAGAAAACTAAAGAAATCTACAATGAAAAATTTAATCTATTGTAGAAGACACTAGAAGATGGAGAGACATCTCTTAATGATTGGTTGAAAGAATTACTATTTTGAAAATGACAATTCTACCAAAAGCAAGCTACACATTCGATTCAATCTCGATCAAACTTCTAATACTTCATACACAGATAGTAAGTAATTAAAAATTTTATCTGTAGGTACAGATTATCAAGGACAGCAAAAGCAAAAGAAATACTGCTGGAATTATCACCATACTGATTTTCAAAGTATATATAGCAGAGCAGTAAAAACAGCCCGGTATTGGCACAAATAGACATGCAAATCAATGAAAGAGAACTGGGGCCCAAGATGCTACAATTACTGTTTTTTTGAGAAAAACATCCAAAACATGCCTTAGAAACAGTTCATCACCTCCAACTAATGGTCCCAAGAAAACTATTTCAACATGCAGAAAAATTGAAAGTAAAACTTTTTCTCTGACCCTGTACAAAACTCAACTCCAATGACCCTGGCAGTGGGCAAAGAGACATCTTGTTGGTGGTTTTGTTGTTATATCAGTCATGGGCAGAGCAGATATCAGTCCTTTTTTTCATCCTAGCTTGATGACTTGCTTAGTGGCCAAAGCTGTTTTTTGTCTAGGATACATAAAAAATCAAACCAAATCCAGGCAGCACAGTACAGGAGGAGGAAGACAGAGACGTGCTTTCTGCCCACAGACCAGCCCTTCACCGCACTGCACACACAGAGCCCCAACTACTACCAGGCGGCAACACACCCGCTTGACACCATGACCCGCAGCATGGACTGAGGATGTGGCCCGGCTGCAAGGCCAGCCTGCAGGGTGAGCCACCACAGTGTGCAAGTACGCGGTGCTGGGATGAGAGAGAAAGAGAAGTGGAGCAGCTTGAGCATTATGAAGAGAGGTGGAACTGAGGCTCAAGGGTGGAGCAAAGTAGCCTGTTGTGAGTGGCCAGCCCCTTCACCTGGGCGCGTATGGCGAGGGTCATCTCTGTGTCCCTTGCTATGCAGTGGCAGGGATCCATCCCTGATTGGGACAGCCCTGTCAGGGACCATGTGGATGTCCAGTGGTTGTGCGGAACTGGCCCCATCCCTCACTGTCTGAAGCGCTCTAGAGATCTGGCCCCATCTCTCACCAGCAGTGGTGCTCAGGAGACTGGGCCTTGCACCTACCCAGGCAGCACAGTGGAGCTGGCCCTGTTGGCAGCGGTGTGGGTCAGCTGGCCTCGAGGGCATGAATGTGGGAGAGCTGACCCTGCCACTCATCTGCTGAGTGGTGGTACAGATGCAGAGAAGAAGCTCCTGCACCCCCACCACTCAGTATCTCTATGGACTGGGAAAGCTGCACACAGGATTATGATCAAGAGAGAGCTCTCCTGCCCGCACCAGTTGCAGTACTCCGGAGAGCAGTCCCTGCACCTCAACTGTGCATCACAGTGGAGCTGACCTTAACTGTGAAGGCACTGGTGAGCCAGTTGCAAGGGTGTGAGAGCCAGCGAGCTGGCTCATTCCCTTGCAGGCTTCAACACTTGGGAGAGTGGTTCATGTGCCTTGACTGGGCAGCACAGTGGAGCTGGCTCCAGAGTCATGGGTGAGGCTGACCTCGCAAGATGGCATGAGAGCAAGAAAGGTGAGCCTCCCTCCTCTGATGGCATCATTGGGTGGCCTAGCCTGAGAGTGCTTAGAGCTTGCCCTAGTGGTATAAACAAGTGAGATCCAACCCAGGGACCAGCTCAGCTACCACACAGGCCAGGCCAAGATCCAGAGCTCCGATTTGACCCACCCACAAATCTCTATCATCTGCACACACTTGGGATCCATGGTAGGGCCAGTCCTGATGATCCAAAGCTGTCAGACGTCCATAACAAAGGGCAACAGCAGGATAAACTGGTGTCCTATTCCTAGTATCATAGAAGCTGGAGACCATGAGCCAGACCAATAACTCATTACAATGAACATTTGCAAGTAAAGATTGCCAACAGATAGATATACTGTGGGACATACCGTGACATATGACTTCCACAATGAGAATTTGTGTGTGTGTGTGTGTGTGTGTATTAGTCAGCTTTTATTTTTTTATTAGTTTAGTTACTTTACATCCTGAAGGAGCCTTCTCTGTCCCCTCCTCCCAGTTCCCCCCACTTCCACTCCTTCTCCCTTCTCAGCCCCCTTTAGTCCCCAGAAAAGGGGAGCTCCCCTCCGCCCTTAATTAACCTTCCCCAGCACATGAAGTCACATCAGGACTGAACATTTGCATACCCTAAGGTCAGGCAAGGTAGTGCTGCCAGGGGGAAGTGATCAAAAGTAGGCAATAAAGTCCGTTTTAGAAACACCTGCCTTCACCACCCCCACCACAAACACTCAGGTGCCCCATATGAAGACTGGGCCACCCTTTGTTACATATGTGCGGAGGGCCTGAATCCACATCATGCATGTTCCTTAGTTGATGTCTCAGTCTCTGAAAGCCACCATGGGACTGGGTTAGTTGTTTCTGTTGGTCTTCTTGAGAGGTTCCTGTCCCCTCTATGTCCTTCCATCTTCCCCCAACACTTCAGCAGAAACCCTAGAGTTCTGCCCCATGCTCGGCTGCAAATCCTAGCATCTGTCTCAATCAGCTGAAACCTCACAGACAATAGTCAAGTTAGGCACCTGTCTGAAAGCACAGCAGAGTGTTATTATTAGTGTCAGGAGCTGGCTCTCCACCATGGGAGGGGTCTCAGGTTGGAGCAATTATTGTTTGGACTGAGATGTTTTCAAAACATTATTTTTTAGTGTGTGTGTGTGTGTGTGTGTGTGTGTGTGTGTGTGTGTGTGTGTGTGCGCGCGCGGGCGTGTGTGTGCTTATTTCTGGAAGGTGAGGATGTTGCAAGGACATGAGAGGACTGGGAGATGAGCAGGACTGTGATGCATGATGTGTCACAAAGAATTGCTAAAAAGTTAATAATAAAAAAACTCTCAAAATGGATCAGGAACTTCAATTTACAAGTTCTGATACCCCAGAATTTCTAGAAGAAAAGTAAGGAGGTTGCTTCAACTTACCTGTTCAGGGAAAGACTTTCTGAATGGGACTCCAGAAACGCTAGGAAATAAAACCAAAAATCAACAAATGAAAAAAAAAAAAAAAAAAAAGTTCTGCACAGCAGAGCAAACTGTCAATTTACTGGAGAGGCAGCCCAAAGAACGGAAGACAATCATTACCAGCAATGCATCCAAAACATGCTTGCTTTCTAGAACATGCAAAGAACTCAAAGAACTAAACCTTAATAAAATAAACAACCTAATTAGTAAATGGAAAATTCTCAAAAGAAGACAGGCAAATAGCTATGGAACACTTTCCATTGCCTTATTTTATTTTTCCTTCTCTTCAAATTAGAAATTTGTATCAAAAAATCTTAATATTTATTTTTTGTAAATTTAAATGTATTCTTGCAATATTTGACTACATGTTTGTCTCATTGATTTTATTTTTAATAAGTTTCCATTTGATTATTTGTAATTTGTAAATGAAATATTGTTTCTGTTATGTAATATTATCTTCATACCTTATTTGTGCGTATTTAGCTGGCATATAGTATAAGTATAGTGATCTGGGTTAATACACAATTGTTTTGAAGTCTTTGTTAAATTTGCCGTATGGACTTTTGAAAGGCAGTTTGCTTCTTGTAGTGTTACTGCACATGGATTGAAATTTCCTGTTTCTCCCCATGATCTATATGGCTTTATTTATACATATTGACAATGAACATTTAAGTAGCACTGTGTTACAGATGTTTCTATGAATCCTTGCTTCTTTTTGAGTGTTCTTGTGTTTGTTTTTCTGCTTAGTTTCTTGGATAGGCTAGAAGCATTTTGTAAATTAGCTTTCCCTTGCACTGTGAAATCTCTTCCTAACTCCTCAGAGGGTAGCCTTGGGCATGTGCCCAGCCACCCTACAGTGATGGTGATTATAGAAGTTCTTTCTTTGACTGTCTTTTCCCTCTAATACCTCTGTCTACCTCTGTTGATATCACACCCCACTGTCAGTATTCGCTAATTGCTCACTACTTGCTCTCTTCTGTTTGACAGTGTCCCGAGGCATCAATTGGTTTTCTGTGCGCAGCAGTCAATGCCAGGCCTTTTGCAGAGGTTACTAGGAGGCCTCTGTTTGAGGTTTCTACTAACCCCAGGAGGGCTTTTCTCATTTCTCTCTCTGATTGTCTTCTGTCAGTTATTGAACCTAAGGTTTTGTTGCTGTTGTTGCCTTCAGACAGAGCTGCAGACCTTCTTTTAATTCCTTAACACCCAGAGCTGTTTACTTTTGAGAAAAAGGCTAGGTTTGAATTCCCAGCACTCTTTTTTAAAATCATGGCAGCTTCTTTGTTGGAAACGTTAGAGATGTCTGACCTCATGGCTTGCTTCTCTCAGTGTAGACATTCTCTTGATGATTGTGCTGGTGCTGCTGCTGGAGAAAGGAGGTATCCGCGTTTATTCTGAAGTCGCATCCCAGTATGATGGGCAAGATGCCAGGGTGACACTAGCCTTTGATCTCAGCTGCCTCGTCTGCTGTAGAATATCCACTTTGAAAATGAGCTGTGTGCCTCCGATGGTTGTCCTCAGCTGCTACCAACCAAATAGAGCCATAGCCTGTGAGGTGAGATTGTGTGGTGAAGACAGCCTAATGGCTGTCTTCAAATTATTACAATTCTGCTCTTCTTGGGGAGCTCATAACCAGCATCTTAAGGGAGAAAAATCACAGAAAGATAGAGTCATTTTGGACCAAATATTAAAGAATCTTGCTGTTTGAAGACTTAGTGGGTTTTCTGGCATAAATATTAATCTTGTCTTATTTCTGGAAAATGTATAGGCATATAAGTGTTTGTTCTAACTTGTTTTTCATAATGTCTACTAGCTATTTTTATATGTTCAATGAACTCTGTATGTCTGATGCCCAGACTAATAGGTTCCAGATTCTGAGGCTTCCACCTTGTACTTTACTACTCAAATTTAACTTAGCACATTGCTAATTCATTTAAGACATGACTGAGCTAAAAGTGTGCACTTGTAGGACACATTGAAAGAATTTTAAGTCATGGCAGCAATGTGGATTGGAAAGACTTTCAAATATAATAATTTCCAGTGTCAGGTGTTTTGAGTAAACTTTGAGTCAGATTTACAATCAAAACTGAATATCCACTACAAATTCCAACAAATGCATGTACATCTAGAAATAATGATTTTTATGAAGAGGAATAAAGCAACATGAATGATAAAAAGATGTTTAGAGGAAAGAAGGTAATTCCTTAGCATTCCTGGACCACAAACACGAAGAGGCTGCATGGTATACTCTAAAACAGAATGAAAGAGAATATTTTCAATAACACAAAACCATGACTATTCTCTGCAGAAAAGCCTATGTAGTCACACCTCTAATGGAAGTTTCCACACGTAACATTGCATGTGTAGTGGTCATTTTATTTCAGGACATTTGTATATATTTTATAGTAGCATAGAGACTATACTAATCAATTAGTCATATCTCTAGATAGTCCCCAGACTCTGATGGGGACTATAGAGAATCAGATAGTATTTAAGTAAAGGACAATATATCTAGTGATTGAGAGAACCTTGTTTCTATAGAAATCTGATAGGCT